CCTGCTCCACGGGAAGCCTGCTTCTCCCTCTCCCACTCCTCCTGCTTGGGTTCCTGCTCTCGCTATCTCTCTCTGTCAAATAAATAAAAAATCTTAAAAAGAAACAGAAGATTGGGGAAAGTTTTCTTTTCTCCTTTTTTTCAGCTTACTTATTTATTTAAGTAATCTTTACACCCAACATGGGGCTTGAATTCAGGACCCTGAGATCAAGAGTTGCATACTCTTCCATCTGAGCCAGCCAGGAGCCCCAGGAAGTTTTTCTTTTTCATCTTCCCCTTAACTGCCTAAAAGAATCTTGGGGTACCTAGGTGGCTCAGGCAGTGACTCTTGATTTTGGCTCAGGTCATGATCTTAGGGTCATGAGATAGACCCCTGCATGTTGGGCTCTGCACCTGGGTGTGGAGCCTGCTTAAGATTCTCTCTCCCTCTCCCTCTGCACCCCCCCCAAAAGAATCTAGATAGAGGACCTGTTCTAGAAAGGGAGTTATAGTGACAGATAACTATAGTATAACATAATCTAGGTGTGACAGACAGAGGAACTTAGCAAAATCTGTTAAAATTCTTTGTGTCCCATTGTTTCTGTATGGCCTGGCAAACATTTGTTTACAAAACATTTGCTCTTTTTCAATTTCTTGTGAATTGCCTGCCTTCCTTTTGAAGTCCCAGACCCTTACCCCCTTCTCCTTAGTCCAGAATGACACATATACGTCATTTTTCCTGTTTTTGAAATCTCTCATGTTTTGTGGATTCCCCATATGTACGTAATTAAATTAGATTTTTCTCCTGTTAATCTGTCTTATGTCGGTGTAATTCTTAGACCAATTAAAAAAATCTTGAAGTGTAGAGAAAATTTTTCTTCTCCAATATGCTCTTACCAAGTGCTTGGGTCTGTGCTAGGAATATGAAGACAAAAAAAAGGATCCTGTGCTTAAGGAGCTTACTTTCAGTAGGGGGCGAGAGACAAGTAAGGAAATAAAATGAATAATGTATTCTTCACTTTCCACTAAAATACTCCTAATGGCATAGAAGGGAAAACCCATGTCTCCCCGGAGTTTGGGGCATAACCTACATTAAGAGATTAATTTCTTTGAACTTCATCTCTTTTTAAAGTTTTTAAGTCCAATTAGTTAACAGTGTAATATGAGTTTCAGGTGTACAATATAGTGATTCAACACTTCCATACATCACCAGGTGCTCATCACAAGTGCACTCCTTAATCCCCATCACCTGTTTCCCCCATCCCTCCACCCACTGCCCTTATAATCATCAGTTTGTTCTCTATAGTTAAGCCTGTTTCTTGGTTTGCCTCTCTCTCTTGAATTTTATCTTCTAAAAGCCTTGCAAATTTTGCATTCCACACTACAATATAGCCCCATTTGTTTTTTTGTTTGTTTTGTTTTTACATATCATCCAACCAAGTGGGGTTTATTCTGGAAATACATGACTGATTCAACATTTAAATACCAATGTAATGCATCATATTAATAACCTTAATAAGAAACACTGCCAAAAAATTGGATAAAATTCAATATCTTTTTTTTTTAAGATTTTATTTATTTATTTGAGAGAGAGAATGGTAGAGAGAGAGCACGAGAGGGAAGAGGGTCAGAGGGAGAAGCAGACTCCCTGCCGAGCAGGGAGCCCGATGCGGGACTCGATCCCGGGACTCCAGGATCATGACCTGAGCTGAAGGCAGTCGCTTAACCAACTGAGCCACCCAGGCACCCTAAAATTCAATATCTAACCATGATAAAAACTCTGAACAAACTAGGAAGAGAAAGGAACTTCCTTAACCTGATAAAGGACAAGTATAAAAAACCTATAGTTTGGGGCTGCCTGTATGGCTCAGTCGGTTAAGCATCTGCCTTCGGTTCAGGTCATGATCCCAGAGTCCTGGGAATGAGCCCCTATGTGGGCTCCTTGCTCAGCGGGGAACCTGCTTCTCCCTCTCCCTCTGCCTGCCACTCCCCCTGCTTGTGTGCTCGTGCTCTCTGTCAAATAAATAAATAAAATCTTTAAGGAAAAAAAAGCCTATAGCTGGTATCATACTGCATGGTTAAAAACTGAATGTTTTCCCGTTGAGAAGGAGGACAGGTAAGGATGTCTCCTCTTATTCAATATCCTATTGGAAATCCTATTCAGTGCGACAAGGCAAGAACAAAAATAAAAGGCATAAGAATTGGAAAGGAAGAAATAAAACGGTCCCTAGTTACAGGTGCCAGTCAGGCCTCACTCTAGAAGAGGTCTTCAAATTGGCACATGGGGCAGGGGGAGCCTTGGAGTTGGGCAAAGCCGGCCTGCCTAGTGAATGGCTTGCACATTGCGGGGGGGAGGTTGGGGGGGAACAGAAGACAACTTCTGGAGCACAAGGAGCACAGAGAATCCACCAGAAGGAGCCGCCTCCATTTCAGGCCCAGCAGGTGGATGGAGCTGGTGACAATCACTCGGTGGGGACACCCAGAGGGCTGTGTCTTATTGCTGAGAGGGGGGACGTAGCCTTCGGTGCTGCTTCGCTTCTTGAGTTTAACAGACACGGCGCGGCGGGGAGCTTTAATGGAAGACCTCGGTCACAGTTGGAGCTGTAGATGAGGACGGGGATGGGAGCAAAACGGATCACGAACCGGCTGCTCTTTCCTGCTTCTTTGTCTCCTGCATTTGCGGAGGGGCGGAGGCCGGCGTCCTGTAGGTGACCCGGGTGGCACACCGGCCCCGGGAAGCCCCGTCGCCCACGGTCTCCACACTCGGTGAGGCGCCTGTGTTCGCTCAGTAGGGCGCCCAGTCCCCGCTGCAGTCCCCGCCCGCAGGGCCCTAGCGTAGCCGCTAGACGCCCGCGCCCAGGCCTGGGAGGCTGGCCAAGCATCCCGTTTATTTAAACACGTACAATTTTCAGCCACAGGCTGCCTGGAGAGGGGTGGTAATGTAGTGGTAAAACGCAAGATTTGTATTCAAGCTCTGATGACTTCTAATCATGACCGCTCTACAGCTTCCCAGCTCCTCTTTCCTGTTCCTCTTCGCAAAAGTGGTGCCCCTTCTGATCACCTTCTCCTGTTCTCCAAATCTTTACAAGAGCTTCTCCAGTCCGCGTGGTTAGGTTCGTTCTCCCCTCTCTTACAACGCCCCGAATTCTGATCATTGGTACATTTTCTCCCTGCAACTTTTCCTGCCTCTCTAGTTCAAGAGTTAACTCGCTAAATTCTACTAGGCCTCTGCTAACCGCCAGCTCTCTGCCTTTGTTCTGCCTGGAATCGCCGGCTGCCAATCAACAGAGGACGCAGACCTCTCGGAGCGAGGGAACTTGGACAGAATGGCCAGGCGCACTGGGCTCAGCGTAAACAAGTGACCTCTTGTTCTCCAAAGCTCTTGACAGACCAGGAGGAAAAATGATCAGCTCTTCTACTATCTTTGTTGTATGATACCTACACTACTGCCTAGGTCCAAATACAAGCACTTTGCATTATAGGACAGCACAGGGAGCGGAAGGTGAGGGCGACGAGGGTTCTTACAGAGGTCGAAAAATAAGATCCCCGCCGCTAAGTGAAAGAAAACTTTCAAAGACTAAGAGCAACACTTCCCTCTCCCTCCCTCTTCTGTAGCCTTC